CAGAGGCATAATATGTAGCAGCTACACAAGCCAGTAAAGAAGCAATTTGGTTGAAGATGCTATTGGAGGAGCTTGGGCATAACCAAGAGTATGTCTTTCTATTTTGTGACAATCAAAGTGCCTTGCATCTAGCAAGGAATCCAACATTTCATTCAAGGACAAAGCACATACGAATTCAGTACCACTTCATTCGTGAAAAGGTGGAAGAATGGACGATAGATATGCAGTAAATACATACCAAAGACAACATAGAATATTTCATGACGAAGGCGATCAATACCGATAAATTTACTTGGTGTCGATCCTCTTGTGGCCTGTCAGAGACGTAAGCAACATAAAGTTACAAGGTAGAATGTGAAGACATGATTGTTCCAATCAAATCTTTAAGTGGGAGATTGTTGAAAATTAAAATCCACCGAAAGGTGGCATTAAATTTTCACCGAAAGGTGGAATTAAATCCACCGAAAATAATAAGTCAAAAAGGGGTTGTAATTGTTGAAAATGTGCAAGGCTAAATTACTCAATTTAGTCATTATACTTTAGGATATTTACAAAATTAGTCCTTAAGCTTCAACTATAAATACCCTAACCTATTTAGCTTCAAAACCATCTCAAATCATTCTAGCTTTCTCCCAATACTAGAGAATTTAGAGAGTTTCTTGAGACTTGTTTTCTCCTTTTTTATCAAGAGAGAATTATCATTGTTTTCTCCTTGGTAGATCGAGAGAAGTTGTAATTCCTATTTTCTCATAGTGAAATTCTTCTACCGTTGTTTAGGGGTTTTCCACGTAAATTTTGTCTCTTTTATCTTTATTTTTATTTTCTCAAATTATCAGTTACGATTTTGCTCTATCTGATAGTCGTCTTCCACAAAAGAAAATCAGTGATGATAATTGATATTTTATTAATTTCATGGGCTCCATTATGTTATTTTACATTTTATTTAAATTTATTATAAAAAAGAGAAAATAGTATACTAATATTTTTAAATTCGTGGGTCTTGGGCGGGTGACCCTTTTGCCCTGGCCTAGGGCCGACCCTGATTATTAATATATATGTGTTCACCCTAAAAAATATTTCAAGATCCGCCCTACTTGTCTTTTTGTCAATATCTTCATTCCATTAACACAATACGAAAGGTGATGAAATCACATGTAATACTCAATCTAATATGATTATATATGCTTTACTAAAATCATGCCTTTTAGTCTTGTTTGATCAATGGACTGATGACTTGAAATGTATTGTAGGATAAAACTGATTTCAAGTTAATTACATTCCCAGCTCTTGTGCCTGTCCTGAGAACTGTTGAAGGAAAGACCTTGTTGTTGATGGTGAAGCATGCATAACTAATTATTAACAAGGTAACTAAAGTAGTTTGCATCTCCCAAGGGTTTAGTTACATTTTTTCTGTATCTTCTAGTATAATCAGAAAAAGAGTAGTGTAGTTTTGTTTGTGAACATGAACAAGTTTCTATCTAGTAAAACATTACATGATATGGATGTAAGTGATGAAGAATTAGATGTGGTTTGGAACAATATTAATGTTCTACTTTCATGATCATTTGTTGGTGTATATTTCTCTTTGAATTCATGAAAGTCATCTAAATGAGTGATATAGGCTTCTGACTTATTTTCTGGGATATCCCTCGCTCCTGGGCCTCAAAGTTCTGTCAATCTCAGTGATTTATTTGAGCTAGGTGGTGAGGCTTTATTTATGAAACGAGATTCTTAAGACATCTAAAAAAATTGCTGAAAAGGATCCTTTATGAAATGGCAATGTCATGTTTCTGATTATTTTGTGAGGCTTGTTTTCATCACGGGCCATACTCAGTCATTTAATTACAGTTATTCTAGTTATTTTAGACAACTTTGAAGTAGATTAACCGATCAAAACAACGCGTGTATAATTGGAAAATAATAAGTAGGGGGGAGAGAACGAGGAATGCCGATGCAAAAAGGATCGCGATTGTGAGATTTGTGCGAAATGCTTTACATGATTTTACTTTTCCATTCTCTTTTCCAAGATTTTGTTGCTTCTCCCTTTCTCTGCTTCTCTCCGATGGGAATGGCTCAGCCTTTTTACCGGAGATTCAGCGAAATGCAAAAGAGAGCAGAGAGAACACGCAATGTAAAGAATGGAAATAGTATAAAAATGGTTTATTAATAAACTCACGTATTTATCCATTTTCAATGTTCAATCCCCAAACTTCCCAACGTAGTTAACTCCGATCACACAATTTAGTATACGAAAAATCAACTCAAATCCAATTTTTATATTTCATTTTAGGGTAAACTATATCTATAACCACTTAAGTATTATCCATTTTTAGGATAGAGAATTGTCTCACGACATGCGCAGGCTGCTTATGTTTATATTTTTAGTTTATTTTTAGAATATTTTGGATTTTTTTAAAATTTTTAAAGAACTTTTATTGGTATTATCATAGGTATTTCAGATAATTTTGGGACCCTAATCGAAACTAGAAAATAGACTCTTGTAGAACAGATGTATATTTTATTACTTTGAATAATTAATTTAATATTACATTATAAATCTTAGAAAAATTATTAAATTAGCGTCCTAAATTATAAAAGTAAAAAAGTTACATTGGAAAAATTAGGGGTCTCAATTATAAAAGTAAAAAGCGAGATTAAAAAATTAGCACTTCAATTATAAAAGGTGGGAAGTGAGATTGAAAAAAATTAGAGACCTAAATTATAAAGGTAAAAAATTAGATTAAAAAATTATGTGCTTCAACTATAAAGGTAAAAAGTGATATTGAAAAAATTAGGAGCATCAATTATAAAGGTAAAAGTGAGATTAAAAAATTATGGACTTTAATTATAAAGGTAAAAAAGTGAGACTGAAAAAATTAGGGGCTTCAATTATGAAGGTAAAATGATATTGAAAAAAATTAGGAGTCTTAGTTATAAATGAAAAAAAAATGTGATTAAAAAATTAAGGGCTTCAACTATAAAGCTAGAAAGTGATATTGAAAAAATAGGAGCCTCAATTATAAATTTAAAAAGTTAGATTGAAAAAATTAGGAGCATCAATTAAAAAAGTAAAAAGCTAGAATAAAAAAATTAGGGGTTTCAATTATTAAACTAGCAAGTGAAATTGAAAAAAAAATTAAGGGCCTTAATTATAAACGTAAAAAGTGGGACTGCAAAAATTAGGGGCCTTAATTATAAATGTAAAAAGTGGGATTACAAAAATTAAGAGACTCAATTATAAAGATAAAAAGTAGGATTACAAAAATTAGGGGCCTCAATTATACAGAAAAATAAAATTAAAAAAATTAAATACCTCAATTATAAAAATAAAAAGTATGATTGAAAAATTAGGGGCGTTATAAAAAAAATGGTGCATTGAGCAATCACTCCCCTCTTTCGTATAGGGTAAACTAAACATATAGTACCTAAATTATTAATTTTGATCCATTTTAGTATCTAAACTTTTAAATTTTTTCAAAATTATACCTAACGTTTAGTTTTTGTTTCATTTTAGTACCCATTAAAAACCTAACGTTAAGTTTTGAAAAAGTTGAAAGATAGTTACTAAAATGGACCAAAATTGGTAGTTTAGGTACTAAATGTGTTAAGTTTTTAACGATATGGTACTAAAATGAAACAAAAACTAAACATTGGTATGATTTTGAAAAAAATGAAAGTTTAAGTACTAAAGCGAACCAAAACTAATAATTCATTACCCTATATAATATTTATGATCTTTTATAAATCAAATCAAGTTAATAATTCATACTCTAAATTATTTAGCCTAATAGGAAAACATAAATTTTATTTTGAGATTTACGATATCTATTACAATGGAGGACGAACGTTACGTGGGGGTGATGAGTTTAAAAATATAATATTTTTATTAGAACTTGTTACAAGAGGTGACAAGTTTCAATAAAAAGAATATATCTTAATAGAACTCGTCACCCCACGTAAAGAGTTCCAAATAAATATAATAATTTTCGTAGATTATTAATTAATTTTTAGACTACAAATAATTATTCTGCCTGAATTAATAGGCTAATTTTGCCTTATTAATTGATGGAAAACTTTATCTTTTTAGAAGATATTGTTGATAGGCCAATATATACATTTAAATTAATAGTGAGTGACACGAACTGAATGATCTATATGATAAAGGAATTATTGTTATTCCTTGAAGACTTGGGTTTGAGCTCCATAGAAGCAAGGGGTGTGAACTTTCATTATCGAGAGGTTGAGAGTTATCTTTAAACAGATATTGTTTTGTATTTATCCCAGATTAATAGAAAAAAATTGATAGCGTGAATCAACATACTTTAACGGTTAAAGGAATTATTATTCTTTCTAGAGATTACAAATTTAACAACCAATGATTGCGTATTTAAAATATATATTGTTTTATAATCATCTTAGCTTACACAATATTAGTAGTGAGTCGAACATAATTTAATTTGATTCAAACTTAAAAGCTGAACTCAAATCAGTTCGAAAAAATAGATATGATTCAAAATTTAAAAAATAAAAGTAATATTTTAATTAAATTAAATTTGATTGACCTTATCTGCTCGAGACAGAAAATAGCTTAATCTTCTTGAATCCATCCAGAACAAATAATCTAAACCTTCTTGAATTCATTCCTACTTGAAACCTGACAATTACCTAAACCTTCATATGGCCCAACTCAAACAATTTGATCGGTACACCTAAACCCAAAGTGACATAAACATAAAATAATCTAAATTCAAAATAAATCAAACTAAAAGTTACCTACCTCTCCCATTGATAGGTCTAATTTATACATTAGAATCATCTTTGCATTTACCTTTAAAATTAATCCAATTAAGAAAAGAGAATAAAACTTTTTTTAACCAGCATCAATATTTACGAGAAGCTCCAAAAAAGAAATTATATCCAAACAAAATTTTACATGGGTTAAATATGGACACAAATTTGGTCTGGTATAAATATAAACAATGACCAAAATTAAAAGATAATGTAAGAGTATTTCAGTCTTGAATTTATTAAACCAACCGGCAAAGTAAACTATCAACGTTCTTCTTGCCTGCAACTGCAAGCAAGCGCCTCTTTGGGTATATACAGAAAGCAATTAGCAAGTATGAACCACAGAGGCAGTTGCCTCACCCTGCTGCTATTGAGTTCAGAGTTCAACGTTCCATTCGACATTAAAAGAACGACAGGAATTAAGCTAAATGTTATCAGATGGAATTGAAGAAGCCAAAGTTGAGTAGTATTGTGGTTCCTGTTAATTGCTCCTGAAAACGGGATAGTAAGTTTCAAGTTCAAGCCGGTCCAAAATCTTCCACGTAGCCCATAGATAGGAAGAGTGCCCCTCAATCACATCTGTTACGTTAATCTGAAGAGATTCTGAGTTAGTGCTTAGTAAATCTTGGTGACGAACAGCAAGGTGGAAAAATATATAACTGGAATAACTTACGTTCTCAATCCCCTGCATATCAACCGGTTGTATTCCAGCTAATCCTTGTGTAAGTAAACTGTTTTCAAATTACCATTGGCTTGCATCAGTAAGGTTGTTCAATTGGTATTTTTCTTCGAAGGTGATGAACAAAATGACTTCTTTAGGATGTAAAAAGAGACACAATCCTCAGATGAGGATATGAATCAAGAGGGATGGATAGACGATATTACAAAATTATATAAATGCATGCATTGCACCAAAATTTCAAGAATCCACCTTCCTTTGGTAAGAGAATGGAACAGGAAGCACGTCTTTGTACAACAACGTGGACCCGGACCCAAAGAGAGAGAGAACAGAATATCCAGACACATTTATATTAACATTAAAACAATTTCTAGAGTTTTACTGGATGACATTTAAGGCCGTAAGTTATCAGCCTTAATATAGCAACAGTTCCAAATCATCTCAAAGTTGTTCATCTGGCATACCTTGCACGGAAAGCAATTCCAAGCATCCAATCATTCGAAGAGTAAGCATTTATAAACCTGCCAGCCACCATCTGCAAAGACCCTAGATATTAATCAGTATGTTCTAGTAATGAAAAGAACATCCAATTGTAAATAGAAAAATACCTTTCTCGCAGCTTCCCAATTCTCTCCTTTAATTGCAATGGGAGCTCCAAGAAGAACAACTCTTTCTACAAGTTCAGCTGCCAAACATAGTGGAATAGCCTTAGGATATTCCAACCACCACAGCAAATCAGAAAGTGCATCAGAATAAATTGGTCATGTTTACCACTTTGTTCAGTCTCGGACAAAGTCTGAAGACACTTGAAAATCACTCGTGCTCCAAGTGAGTAGCCAATGAGTGTCACAGGTCTGAAAAGTTTATACACTCCCAAGGATGAACCATGGAAAGATTATTTTGCAGATGTTTTAATGTATATAAACATTCCCCTAAATTCTACATGTATACCTGTTACCTTGGTAGCCTTTCAATAAAACTTCAGCTAGCAACTTTCCTGCTTTATCCGACCTTGAAAATAGAAGATAAAGACATAGTTAATACTTGTAAGGTGTACTGCAACAGTTCTCAAGTTTTCAAATAAGAATTAAAATTCACTCTGGAAATCAAGTATCTGCAACATCCAGCAAATACAATTAAAGCAGCCCGCTTCTAGGGATTTTAATTTGTACACAAATTCAGGTTCATAAAGATAAAACCATTTTTACCATTCATCAAAAGAAACTTTTAGTCAAATCAGGTACTATGAACATTTCTCTGCAGCATTATCTACCTTGATATTCTGTTTGAGAGACATGAAAGTTAAAGCCTTTCCCTCCTAAGATCCAGATATCAGAGTTCTGCAAAATCCTAACGCATTCAATGTCAAACCATGAACTACTAATATTTACACACTATGGTTGAAAAACACTTCAAATTTCCCCTCTTTTACTTAAACATGCAAGTTTTTCCTCACCCTCAAGTTGTTGCCTGGTTCACTTTCAATTATTTTCAAGGGTCATTACACTAACAGCCAATTCTAATGAAGAGCTGAGTTAATAACTACCTACATCTAGTACTTGCAAAAATGTATGCAAAGAATGATCCTCACAAGAGCCACAGCAAGATAGGCCTCGTAAATACAGCATGGTGTGAAACAATAAAATGAAACTGGAAGAGAGTTCTTCCTGTTTTCAAAGCCAAGTACTCTGCAAAAACTAAGCAAATCAAACCTGTCCACAGCAATTGACATTTTGCTGTCTATAAAGCTGGTAGCTGAAAGCAATACTGCAGGCAATGCCAATGCTGTTACAAGTGAGCTTAAAACTGTCATCATTGCACCCTGTCTCATTAACTCATAAGCAATACCTGCACAACAAGCATAAGCAATCTCAAATATACACAATTCTCATAATCAAAAGACCATTTTAAAAATCAGACATAAACCCATTACTTGAAGTTAGGTAATCCTGAATTACTGTGCTCACTGCAATCACATTATTGGACTCCCACAGTAGTGCAAACCTATAATTTTCATTGTCAGAAACAATGCTATTCTATTCTTTCCTTTCCTTTATATCTATAAAAGTGGTTTAAAAATAAAAACAGAGGTTTCACATACAATGGATATGGTATAAAAATTTTATACCTTTCCATGTTGTCAATTTTTCCTTCCCAGGGCCTAGTATAATCATCCTTACTAAAAACAAAGCCGGAGATCAAAATCTCAACTGCTAGTCGCTGAAATAAAAGGTTAAATAGAACATTAATAAGATCCAGACACCATAGTTTTCTATGCCACCAGAACAAGAAAGAAATAATTCTATAAGAACTCACGCCCTGGTTATGATAGTCTCCAATAGCTATAAATTCAAATTCATCAACGTCACCAGTTCTCCTAGCCATTTTAGAACCTGTAAGTCCAGCTCCAGCAGCTGGGTAGAACAGAGTGTGAATATAGATCTTAATCAAGTATAAAAAGAACATCTTCATAACTTGTATTCACCAAATATTAGCTTAAAATTTCTGAAACCAAACTAAAAGTTTAACAAACTAATGATTTCTACAGTAAGGAAAATTGACATGACAAGAATGGGTAACTAAGAAGATTCATGATTAGTCATTCACCTCCAAATGATGCAGCAACAGCAACAGAACCTGCAACAGTTCCAGCAGCACTTGCAGCGGCAGCAAACCCACTTGCCCCAATGACAGGGACTAATGTGCCTAATGTTGGAGCCAGAGCACCAAATCCAGCAGCAATTGCTGGGGCAGCTAACCCTGTTTAATAGTAAAAGTGAGATCCAAAAAGGTCAAAAACAATAAAGTCAAGACGGTGGAAACTAATGACCAGATAAAAGGTTTTTGACAATCACATACCTCCAGTAATGGCCATCAATGCTCCTCCAGTTAAAGCAGCAGCACCAATGATGCCACGACGCTTCCATTTTGCCCATTTGCCTCTCGGTGACTGGGATTCTTCTTCTTCTGCTTCTTTCTCTTTCGCTATAGCCATTGCAGAATAAGCAACCATCATCTCAATGCCTTCCTGCAAGCACAAAGGCTCACTAATAGGGAGAATATAAAAAAATATATTAATAGTTAAATTGGAAGGAGCTAGGTTCTTGACAAAACACCACGCTCCATGCCCAAACACTGCTAGTATATTAGTGAGGTCCCAGAGATCTTCTCTGACAATCCAGGACATTTCGTAAAAGGAATTCTAAGGGTCATATTAACGGTACAACTTTAGATTCACAACATAACTGGTAGGTACTCAATGGTACATAAAAATTGACATAAATCCATATCTATTCAGCTATTGCTCTTACTAAGATAACATTGTTTACCACAAGCTCTAAGAAGGAAAGATGGAAATGGAAAGGGACAAAAGGTTGCATGTACAAACCATTTTTATCCACTCAATGTCAAACCAAGTTGTTAGCAACCGGAGAGCCACACGATTTCTGGCATCATAGCCCTTTCTTCGCCGGGTATATTTTTTGCTATCTTCACTAATCTCTGCAGCTGCAAGGGAAGCTGAAAGAAGCTCATAAAGAACCATAACTTTCCTATGACAAGTAAGCATCTCAACCTCTTCAACAGGTTTCTCATTCAAACTCTCCTGCAGAGTCTCTATAGGTTGGTTTGCCACTACAGAATTTGATGGAACCTCAGGAGTGGAATATTTCTCACGATATTCCTGTTCATATGCACGAGACCTCTCCTTTTTATCCTGGGAAGATACAGAATTTGTTTCCATGCTCAATACCATACTATCAACAGCTTTTGACAGAGCAATCTGCTGCTCCAATCTTTCAGAAGAACCCTCCTCGCCATCTTCAGCTAGTAACCTCAAGAACTGTATGAATAGGAAACAACAAAAACATGTTTATAATAAGAACAAAAAAATCATTGAAACATTGCTCACATTTCTTCTGCAAATGATCATAAACATGATCATAAGTGAAAGGAAACAACATACAGCTCCCAGATGATGCTTGGCCGAAGAAGACCCAGCAGTTTCTTCTAGTCCAAGCCATGCAGCGGAATCAATATCTAGAGATCTGAATCATGTGAAAACGAACAAATTCTTCAGAAAAATATTTTCTGAAATTTGAAATGTCCAGAGAAGAATTCGAGATCCTAAAAGTGATGATGTCCCAATTCAAGTATTTCAGGATAGAAAAAAAGGAAACTCTGGAGGAGAACATTCTTTTTGATGAATTGAAATTAGGGTATCAAAAGGAAAAGGAAGAAAGAGGTTGAAAACCTGAAAATGGGTCGGAGCAAACCAGAGTTTTCGTTGACCCAAAGGTCGGGATCTTCAGAGACTGAGTCGCTGCTACTACTGCTACTTGTTCGGTCGCCATAGGAAGGGTCATCATCCTTGGGAGGAAGTCCAAGAAGACGAGTCTGATGGATCTGAGCCTGGTGAACAGCGATGGCAAGCAACGCTCCCGCCGCGTACTTCTGCGTCGCCGTCAAAAACGACTTTCTTTCTCCCGCCATGCCTTGCAATTTGTTTCAACTCGTTTGAACTTCTAACGCAATTTCACGATTTTCCGCAGTCAATCTCTTGTTTTCAATAACAAAACTTTCAAATTTTCTTTTTCCATTTTTGAGGCTTTGAAAATTCTCTCTTGCTAGGTTGCTCTTTAACTTGATAAAAATGTAATTAAATGAATTAATCATCATTTTATTTATTGAGTAATCAACACATATGATCACCCGATTGTTATTGTTAGGGTAAAGATCACTTAATTATTGCTTCTTTTCATTTTTTAACATTATTTTTGAAATATTATCAACCTGATAATCTCATTATTTAAATATATCCAATTAAGTAACTTACCGTTAATATTTAATATAAATGGTAATAGGAAAGTTAACATATAATTCTAAATTTGATCCTTCATACTGATATATTCTAATCCTAATTGTAATTGTAATTTAATTCAGAAAATAACATTTCAATCAAAACATGTCACGTATCAATATATTAGTGAGACACATTTTACTAGCATATTTAATTGAAGAATATTTTCACTTAATTTTAATAATTTAGTTAAATAAATTTTCTCACCGTGAGTGATACACCTATCCCTGTTTTAAAAAAGGAAAGCAAAATGGAGGGAAGTTATAGCCTGTGGGAATCGAACCAAGGGATAAAACATAGCCTAAAATACCTTAACGAATAGGGTAAACCTCGTATCAACTAAAAAATTGTTAGCAATCGGGTGGTCAAAAACCGAAAATTGTGGGGATTCGAAATGACGGGATGTGGAAAAATTGAAATCTTCACCACAGGGATAGAGATGGGGAATTATCCCTGAAGCTCAAATTAGAATGGGGACGAGGATTGATATATTTAAACCGTGAGGATAACTGAAACGTATCCTTGTGAATAATCATGGGAATCCCTGAAAAATATCCGTAGTAATCCCTGATATTTTACAAAATTTTAAAAATATATTTATAATCATTTACCTATATACTTGTAGCACTCATTTTCGTCCGGAGTTTTTTTTTATTTTTTTATTATCGTATAATTTTTTTTAAATCTTTTTGATATATATATAATATATGGTTTTTAAAAACATTTTGAAAATATATAATATATAATTTTTGAAAACATGTTGAAAACTTATATAATATATGTTTTTTAAACAAACATTTTGAAAACTTATATAATATATGGTTTTTAAAAAACATTTTGAAAAAATATATATAATATATAGTTTTGAAAATATTTTGAAAATATATATAATATATAGTTTTAAAACATTTTTGAAAATTATATAATATATAGTTTTGAAAATATTTTTAAAAAATATATATAATATATAATTTTAAAATATTTTTGAAAATATATTATATTATATGATTTTGAAAATAATTTTTTTTAAAAAGCGCATATATGATATATAGTTTTAAAAAATTATTTTTTATTATATATTATATTAATATTATTTATTCACTATTTTATTAATATATATTTTTTTATTTATTTTATTTATTATTTCCTTTGTTGTTTGTTCAAGTCCAATGTTCGAGTCTAGCAGAAACCTAATCGGGTTTGGGCTTGATCCAACCCAGTGCAAGTTAGGGTTTGTAAAACCCTAGCGTATGAAGCCAGGCGCCGCACAAGCAGCGTGTGTAGTGGCCACGCGCCAATAACCAACAGAGCCAAGCACGCGAAATGGTCGGCCGAGATCCCGGGACTGAACCATCCAGGGTTTTGGTCAACCCAACCACGAGCAATCCACAAACAATCCAAAATAACCGGGAATGATCCCATTACCATCGAAAATAGCCCTGTCGGGGGGCTATATTGCTAGGATCGAGTCATTCAATTTTCGAACAACTTCCCAGTTGTTCACCCATCCTTGAATTACTCTGGTTCAAACACGCTTAACTATAGAGTTTTGAAGCGAATGGTCACCATTCCTTCTTAAAACCAATTGGTGATAAGTAGGTGGGACAATTCAACCTCATATCTTTGTAGCAGGTGATCACTGGTTCCCCCCAAGCCAAGGTGGATTCTTGTGGGGCATTCCTCACAGTTCACCACGATATTGCAGAGCCACGCATCTATAGCGTGTTGCGGGCAGGCCTAGAGACTTTACAAGGCACACGTGGGCCTCGGCAGGTTGGGCTGTCAAGCACCAGATATCGCGCCCATACATGATAGAATCCCTAAGGATGCTTGTTGGACCCCATAACCCAACAATCACCCCAACGACATCTGGGGGATTCGAACCTGCAACCTGCTCTGATACCACTTGTTATGATCGAGTCATTCAATTTTCGAACAACTTTCCAGTGGGTCACCCATCCTTCCAATTGTAGGGATTTGCAGAAGCTTAAATTGACAATCGAAATGGTTCGTAAAGAGGGTTAGGATCAGTTTTTGTGTTTAGGGAGTAAGGAGATTGAAAGATAAAGGATTGTACAACAATTTATAGTGGTTCAACTTCTCAACCAAGTCTACATCCACTACCTTAGCTCCTCACCAAGGATTTTCTAACAAGTTCACTAATTTGTTCTTTCTTTTTATAGGATCAAGAGATAACCTTTACAAACTCTCTAGTTTTTCACGGGATAAACTAGAACCTTTCCCCTAGATTTTAGCAGGCTTAGCTAGAACCAAACCCCCTTTACAATGAAAGGAAATATAAACAAGAAAACCTCTCCAAGGTAGGTGTTTACAAGAATTAAGCTCACAAGAACAAAATATTTACAAGAGAAATATGAAATAAGATGGAAAAAAATCTTCTCTTGTGTTTGATTGCTTGGATAGTTGTTCTCTATGTTCTTCAAGTGTCTTGAACATGTATTTATATGTTGGAATGAGTTTGAAGTCGTATATAGCCGTTGGGGATATTTTGGAGCCGTTGGGGATTCATTTTGTGCAAAATAAAATTGCCCATAACAAGTAGTATCGGTACCCCTTCAATGGGTATCGGTACCCCTTTGTAATATTTGAAATTTATGATTGTTGGGCTGAAATCATTGTAGCACATTATCGATACCCGTGTAGCAGTATCGATACCCCTGTAGCATTATGGAATATTTTAGTATCGGTACTATTCATACAATACAGTACTATTTATAAAAACATTTTTTGTGCTCAATTCCAAATTAAATGGACTTTGAATTATTTTTGAAAACTTTGAATAAATTCAATTCAAGTCCAAAACATTTTGCCATAAATTGTTATATCAAAACATAGTTCAACAATCTCCCCCTTTTTGATATAACAAAACATTTAAAAAAATGTTTTTGGCAAAACTCCCTTTAATAAAATGTTTAATGAAAAAGATATCAATTGTTAACTGTCCGCGTGTATGAGTACTATAAAATATACGCAAATAATGTGCAAGTATACACAATCGCTCAAGTAATAAAATGGTGAGTGAGTATCGTCTCCACAGGGATTGGGTGAAATTACAAAAGTCTAACCAAAGCTAAGCACTAATCTATCTATGTATAGTTAGTCTTTATATATACAAATGTCACAGCAAATGAAAATGTGTATGCAGATGGATGTAGATGAATGGTCTGATGGTGTAGCAAATGGAAATACAGTGGTAAGATAAGATGTTTAGTGTTGAAAATGGTGCAATGTCGAGGCAATGGAAGATGGCAAATAAACAGTAAATAAATAGCAAATAAAATGAAAAGAAGATAATCCTCACGCAACAAGCTTCCAATGGAATGAATGGTAGGGATTTATCTAAGGATGCTAAACTTATCTCTCAGGAATATTTAAGCTATCTAATCTTTACTTGCTTGACAGGGCTTTCCTAAAGTGTTCTCCAAGGAACCTAACAAAATAGGATGTCAAGGCATCTGCTCTCACTCAACGATGTTGGCCAGCCTACCCTATTGATAAAGACACCCTTTTTAGTAGTTGAAATCCTATCCTAGTCTCTCCCGAGATCTACGGGATTAGGTTATAATATCCCTAGGCCGGTTCAAAGCCCATTGAAAATACTATAACCCATTGCTTATGAGGATCTTGTCTTACGGTTCTCTCAAATACTTACAAGTATTTTTAGCTTAGGTTTCTCCCGAATACCTAAACTTCATCTAAGAAATAGACATTTCCATGCCTCTTACAAGCCTAGATGGTGAAGCACTAATAAGCAAAGTAAATAAATAACCAAAATAAACTTAAATATACCATTAAAATAAAGTCTAAACATCCATTAAACCAACCACCACCAAATAAGTTAGTTCATGGTGGTCGAAATATCCAAACACAAAGTCATGCAAATATTCGTTCCAACAACCCACAAATAAATATAAAAATAGTAGCAAAAAGGGAAGTGATAAGTAGCCTTCGACGCTTCATCGGAGGTTTCCTCTGCCACCACGAACCACCTTAGCTCACTACCTCCTTTCGACACTTAGCTCGCCACTCCTTGGAGCTTTATCAATGGAGGAAAACCCAAGGAAGAAGAAAAGGAAAAGGAAATAAAAATCTGATTTTTTCCTGCTCTAAGTGTGTGCCTCTCCACGTGTTGTGTATTGTCTCCCTTGAGGTGTAATATATAATAAAAATATCTAGGGGTAATGAAGAGGTTGTTGGGTGCAAAATACCCATCATACCCCTAGAATCACATGTAGTGCGTGAACCTTATCCTCTAGGTGGCAGTGGTCCCATAGTAGCTCTGGCAGGCAGTTACAACAATCATTTCACGTGCAGAGCCAGCTGTCCTCGTACAGCTGTATCTTTTTGTCATTTTTTGCACCAGAAATACCAAGGCATTTCAATATGCTTCAGCAACGTGTGATGCCAAGGCATTACTTCCCATCTAGTCCTTTTTGCTTTCTATTCCCTGCACACCACAGACAAACTGCACCTTTCCTTCAAGTAGCATCATTAAGAAATAAAATAGCACTACCGCCACAAATGCAACTATATGCAACTACATGATCCTAAAATGCCTAAAATGAGCTTTTAAACAAACAACAACTTAAGTGAAAAAGGCCTTAAAAGTAGCCTTTTTAGGAAGTTAACATTAACAAAAGGATATTAATTGTTAAAAAGATACTAATTGTTACCAATTGTTGGAAAATATATGAAAATGTTAAGCTTCCCCTTTTTCATTAAGAAATTGATTTTTTCAAACCAAACTTCTCCCCTTTTTTGTTATATAAAAAATAATTCAATCTTTGAAGTTCAAAATAACTTTGGAGAGTAAGTAGTAAATTTGACATTTAAAAATCATTTGAAAAATCAAAGCTCCCCTTCAATAAGTGCATTCCAAACAAAATTTAGTTTTAAAAACTTGACACTTAAACAAAATTGAATTTCAACAAAGACTAAAAAACATGTTAGTAGTGCATGAAATTCAATGTATCCAAGTCTAAAATACTTTATGCAATATCAATAGTTGAAATTAAGTATATATGCATAAAGTTTTATAAAAATGTTATGCATTTGAAAAAATTTTGATATCAATTGTTAGAGAGATATCATTTTCATTTAAACCACATGTATAAACGTTCAAATTTAGGTCAAAAATTTAAAATTTGTAAAATCAAAGTATTTAAAAATTTGATATCAATTGTTAGAGAGATATCATTTGCATTATAACCAATTTTAACCAAACTTTTATTACGATAAACTAAAAATTATGAAAAATCATTAAAACTTTATAATGTTCATCATAAAACCTTTTTAACATACATGAGATCAAAACAATAATACATAATCATTTAAAACAAAAAATCATGCATGCTTAAAATCAAATGAGCAACCAAATAACTAAAATCAAAAGCATTAAGCTTATAGGTTACCCATTCCTTTTTCATGTGTGGCTAGAGCCTCTTGATTTCATCATCTTCATCACCATTGCTCCCACACACCTACAATAGACATTTAAGTAGATTTTGGTATCCAATTTACTTTGAATCCTTGAACGTTAGTTTCAATGCCACTTGTTCCTTTCGGAACCCATACTTGCCTAATTTTAAAATGTTTTCCTTTCTTTAAAGGACAAGTATGTTCCAAATGACCATGATAATGACAATGTGAGCATTTTGCCATTTTTAAACATAATAGGTTTTTTTTAGAAATTAATTCTTTTTCTTTTGTTAAGCTTTCAAGCTTAACTCCTAAATCAAAAATTTTCTTTTCTAAATCATTTATTTTGATTTTTGAAAGATCTAAATCATTTTTCAAAATTTCATTTTGATTTTCAAAATCAACTCTAGCTTTCAATATCGATTTATTTTCAATTTTGAGTTTTTAAATTAATTTTGTATATTTGGAATTCATGGTCTCAAATCCCAAATACAAACTATTATAAGCATCTTGTAACTCATCAAAAGTAAATGAATTAAATTCATTTGAGTTAGAAGATACCTCAAATTCTTCTTGAGTGACCATGAGGCATATGTTGAGTACTTCTTCTTCATCATTGGAATCATCTTCATCACTCCAAGATGCAACAAATACCTTCTTCCCTTTTTTTTAGAAGATGACATTCATACTTGACATGCCATTTCTTTGACAATTAAAGCACACCGGGGGACTCTTCTTCTTGGTTGATTCATGTTTCACTTCCTTGGAAATCATGAATCTCTTGAGTTCCTT